CCAAAATTTTACGCAAATAGCTTGGTGCACAATAGCTTATATATCTACACACCAAAAAGTATCAACAATTAAACAATATCACAGTGCCTTGATGAATCTCCATTTAAAATAGTAATCATCCAGTATTCGCTTCCAATTCTCTAAAATCAAAAACTCGTTGCATCTTTACAATGTTATAATTAACAAATGCACTAAAAACACTCTTAACAAGGGTGTGAATGTGAGATAAATAAACTTAACTATTGGAGAGTTAATTGAATATTTTAAGAACCATAAATCACACCAGTCAATTGAGCCAAGCCTAACTTTGGTTTGAGAACCATTCTTTGACTATTATAGGCTATTCAAATATTCTCACTAACGTCTAACCATCCATAAGATGTTTGGCTTCTCTTTTTAACACCCATGAATGAAGAACAAATTGGCAGAAATTGTTGGCATAAAGCTAATGATGATAACAATGGTTATCACATATTGGGATCACTAGTAGAATGAATTGAACGAATGAATACAGTAAAAAAATAACAGTATGGTTTTCAATCATTTAAAGAAGAAAATTTTGTTGTAAAATAATCAAGCATAATAGAAATCATTTGCCCAAGAACAATAGTAGCCATCACAACAAATATTTATTTCTTAAAATATATGTTGTTTTTTTTCTCCAGAGAGAGGATAACTTAGCTTATTTTAATATGAAGCATTCAATTGGAAATAGGGTTAAATATACACATATCATCCAATTCTTATTTACCTACATATCTAACCCCTAAATTTTTATTTTCAAATTTATACCAACTAAATTTTTCATATCATATAAAAAATACCATTATTTTAACTTTTAAAAAGTGTAATATACCTTTTCATGCATAGGTAAGGTGGCATATATGTAAAAATTTAAGTTTAAGTGTTAGATATTTAAAGAGATAAGGATTGAGTGGTATGCATGTAAATCTTCCTTAAAAAAAAACTTACTTAACTTGAAAGAGGAAGCAAACGCATGAAACTTAGTTGTGGGAGTAACAGTATAAGATTAACCGGTTATAATGAGGTAAATATTAATAAAAAGCTGAGAATTAAGACATATACTGTAAAATCCTACTAAAAAAATGTCTGTCTTTAGCATTAACAAGACAAAACTGGATGAAAAATCCAGTGGGAAACAGTAAAAACAACATTGAGAATACAAAAATCGAGAAAGACTAGAGCTTTAAAATTGGAATAAAATGAATAAAAAACGAATCTAAAAGCATGAGCATACACAACATTTCTGCTCAACCAGCCATTGTAGCTCTTCTCCAGAGCTTCTGGTAGGTCGTAGTGATAAAGATTTGCGTACGGAGCGATGCCTAGTTTGTGGAAAC